CAGGGACCCAGAGCAGGGACAAATTTGTTCCTCCTAAGGACATTCAGTGAAATTCTTCAAAGATGCACAAGAGACGCACCACCTCAGCCCTGCAGCACTAATCCCCAAGAGACTACAGCCCCTGCAGAAGGTGAGGCCAAGGTTAGGATACCCAAGAGGGCACCTGGGCAGAGTCCCTGGTTCAAGTCCTTAGCTCCACAGATGAGAGAGGGGGCTCCTTCGGATCTCTGCAAGACCTGCCCAAGGGCCGGTGAAATAGCTCAGTGGACTAAATGCCTGCTTTGGCAAGCGCAGGGACCAGGGTTCCATCCCCGATCTGGCATGCATCAGCCCCAGCCCTGGGGCTTGCTGAGCCTGTGACCGAATCCAGGCATGGTGGTGCACGCCTGTAATCCCAGCACTGGGGAGGCTGAAAGCAGGGGGATCACTATGAGTCCGAGCTGTGTAGTGAGACCCTGTGCCAAATACGTAAATGAAAAAAAAATAAAATAAAGGACCCGTCCAGGGTGGCCTTTCTGCCATCTGGGGCCACACCTTTCTGCCAGACTTTGTGAAATTCAACTGGGTAAGGGGCCCAAGCCTGGCCCAGGTCTTGACCCCGTCCCCAGCCTTGCTCTGCTCCCCGCTTCCCTTCCTCATGGGCTGAGTCTGGTGCGGGAGAGAACAAAGTAGGGGGGCTTGGCTTTGTGCCTCTGTTTTGTTTCACTCTTTGCTCTGGTGTCCTCCTGCCTTCCTCTGGGCCCCCTCCCCACTCTCACCCCAGGCCTGGAGTCTGCACTGCCTTCCCCCACACTCCGTAATTGCCGATGGAGTGGCTTTGAGGAGCTGTTAAGAGGCCCAGGAACTGAAGCAGTCTCTTGATGGCCTGGCTAGGACGCCCCTGAAAGGCCTCCTTTGTTCTGGGCCTGTTCCTGGGAAGCTGCGTGCAATTACCCAGAGCCCTGAGAGTTGAAAGCTGCAATAGGAGCCCCTGGTTCCCCCTCATGCTTTCTTCTCACCCTACCCCCACCCTGAAAAGAAACAGATGTTCAGGGACACAGGCCTGATGCAGACACCCGCCTTGGCGCTCCTGCGGAGCTGGGGGAGGGGCAGAGCAGCAGCTCCAGCCCTGCCCAGCCCTGCCCTGCCCTGCCCTGCCCTGCCCTGCCCTGCCCTGCCCTGCCCTGCCCTCCCGCTCCCTTCTGTGCCTTTCCAGTCCCCGCAGAGCACCTGGCACCCAGCAAGCATGCAGCAGACAGTGGCTGCTGGTTGTGGTGACTTGGATGAATGGGCTTTGGGATCCAGGCCTCTAGGAGGACCAGAGAGGCCCCACTCTGCCCCAAACCACACACCCCTCTCCTTACAGAGGGTTTGGGCACAGAGTTGGACTTTCTCCCTGCTTCCGGCAAGCGGAGCCCTCCCACACACACACACACACACACACACAAACACACTTCCCATCCTGCCTCATCCCTCCCCGGATCCGTCCTGCCCCGTCTCTCCCTGCAGGTCTGCTCCTGCCCACAGAGCTGCCCGCCCTCCCGGAGTTCTTCCCTAGAAACTGTGACCTGCCCTTTTACATCACATCGAGGTTTCCGGGAGCCAGGGATGAGGCCAAACTCACTTCACTGGCAAAGGCCAGGGCGGATGGCCTGTCACACATCAGCTGTCAGCCCCACAGAACTGCTCACAGCCTGTAGTGAAGGGGCTCCTCTGCAGGGCTGGGGCCTGGGGTCCGGCCAAACTCCCAGACCCTCCAGAGAAGATCCTCGCCACTATTCAAGCTGGGGGGTGTGGAGAGACCACCTGTAAGGAGAACTGTGCGGTGCCCTCTTTCAGCCCTGGTGCTCTCAGACCCTCCAGCCCCTCACCCCTGTCTCGCGATCTCCTCCTCCTCCCCAGCCATCACAGGTGCCAGCTCAGCAGATGGAGCCCTCCCACCTGCGGGTCCCTTTTGTCCTCCTAGGCTGGCAGCTGGGTGGCAGGCAAAGAAAGGGGCTGCATCATGCTTTCTTGCCCCTTGGGGCGCGGGGCTGAGGGGCTTTCCATTGTCTTGGGCAGTGGACTTTGCCATTGTAGGGGAGGTGGCTGCTGGGGTGGGGGCTGAAGGGACAAGGAGAAGGGGGAGAGGGTAGGGAACATAAGTGAGCAGATGGACTGGGGAGTGTGTAAGCTCCAGGGGAAGGGAAAGGAGCTCACTTTACGGTCTCCAGACAGAGGTGTGGGCAATCAGAGCACTGATGGGCTTTGGGAAATCAGAACTGAGTTTTGTTGTTGTTATTGTTTTTGCGGAAACTGGGGATTGAACTCAGGCCCTTGCGCTTGCCAGGGAAGCGCTTATTCCACTGAGCCATCTCCCCGCCCCCCACCCTTTCTGTGCTTGGGTTCTCAGGACTCAAGCAGCATCATGCCCAAGCAGTATCTGTTCTCAGGTAGCAAAACTGTCCACACAGCATCAGTACTCAGAATCAGCAGTCACAGAACAGCAGCAGCTGCAACTACGAGTCGGAGGTGCAGAGACTAATTATGTAAATGCGAGCTGGCTGTATCCTCATTATTCCAGTTCTTGTACGGTGTAGCTGTGTCTCTTGAGAGTCTAGAAGCTGCAGAAGACTTTGAGACCCTGAGGAAAAAAAAATTGTGCATTTCATTTTCCATGGCTTGAACCCTTGGGGTGGGGGCAAGAGCTCCATGTTGCCAGTTGCTAAGCGGGATGCAGCGCACCATCCCAGACTTACTTGGGTTGGACTGAGTTTCCTCGCTTACCTTCGCACCCAAGTGCATCTTGCTTAGGTTGATCTAAGTGACTGACTGCCCCAGGCAGGGGCATCAGTGGGCGGGGGTACAGAGGGCAGGGATCCAGAAGCCCGCGTGAGGCCCTCCAAAGGGCATTTCACAGGGTGTGCTGTTCGCTAACCTCCGTGCAGGCTCTTCCAGAGCATTCCCATCTGTTGGCTTTTCAGTTCTCCAAACAGCGCCTGGAGCCTGGGGTGGGGGCAGGGTGCGATATTTTTGGTTCCATAATTCAGATTCTACTTTGCTAAACCGGCTTGGCTCTTGTCCTATACTGCTCTTCCTAGTGGCAGAGGAAGCACGTGCCCAGGACCCTAGAGTATCTTAAGAATAATTTACTTTTTTGCATTTCTAAGAAAAAGAAATGCTTCAAGGTTGTTGTCACTTGAAAGCTGAGAACTTTTATTGGTATTTTGATGTCTATTTTATGGTTGAGTGTTGCTTTTCTTTTGGATCATTCATAAGTAGGCATCCACGTTCTCCACTCACTGGGTCTTCCAGAGCACTCTCCTGGCCCTAGCCTTGTACCCTGTCGCCAGGTGAGTCAGGCTGGACCCAAATTGAATGGGAAAGACTAAGGAGAACCTCCGAAACATGGCGTTGAGTCAGAGAGGCCAGACACGGGTCACATATTACGTAATTCCATTCATAGGAAACATTCCAAACTAGGTAAATCCCTGGAGACAGAAAATTATCTGTGGTTCCAGAGGGACAAGGGTAGTGAGGAGAGAATGCTTTGTGGGTTCAGGGTTTCCATCTGAGGTGATGAAAACATTTTGAGCTAGATAGAAGTGACGACCGCAGTCTGGGGAGATGGCTCAGTAGAATAAGTGCAAGGGCCTGAGTTCAATTCCCAGTTCTGAAGAGAGAGAGAGAGAGAGAGAGAGAGAGAGAGAGAGAGAGAGAGAGAGAGAGAAAGACAATTGCCCAACATTGAGACCATATTGGGTGCTATTGATTTGTACATTTTAAATGAATGACTTGGGCTGGCGAGATAGCTCAAGGGACCAAGTGCCTGCTTAGGCAAGCACAGGGACCGGGGTTTGATCTCCGGCACTACTTGCCACATGGGCCCTGCCCCTGGGCACACTAAGCCAGTGACTGAGTCCAGGCCTGGTGGCACACACCTATAATCCCAGCACTGGGAGGCTGAAAATAGGAGAATCACTACAATCCAGGCTGCCTAGTGAGACTCTGTACCAAAAATAAATAAAACAAAATAAATAAAATAAATGGCTTTATACTATGTGAATTTCATCTCACTTGGAAAGAAAGATCTTACTATCCGCATCAGGCACCATTACCCCCACCCCCATCTGAGGTTTTGCTCTCTGTGATTTCAGTTACCTGTGGTTAATCATTCTTTAAAAATATTCAATGGAAAATCCCAAAAATAAACACAGATGACAGTCATATAACTTTCATTACACTATATTGTTATAATTGTACTGTTTTATTATGCTGTTATTCTTTGTCTCTTACTGTGTACAGGAGAAAGATAGTAGATAATAGACCTCTTGATTTTGTTTTTTATTGAATACAGGGTCTCACTGCGCAATTCAGGCTCTTGTCTCAGCCTCCCCAGCACTGGGATTACAGGCATGCACCCCCCTGGCCTGATACGCCTGGGTTTCCAGGGCCAGCTCAGCATGCAGTTCAGAGGATTGAACCCGGGTCCCTACACTTGCCAGGCAGGCCCTTAGACCACTGAGCTGTCTCCCCAGCCCCATATAGACTTTTGGACATCCACTAGGATCTTAGAATGTATCATCACAGATCTTAGAATGTATCATCACAGATAAGGACTGCTGAATCTCCCAGCTCTGAGCCAGCACTGCGGGAAACACTTGCCACCCCAGCTATGCTCTGAAGGAAGCAGGAAGTGGCCGTTAAGGGCACTCTGCCCACTCAGCAGTGAGGGATCTGACACATCTCCCACTCTTTTATTTGTGTGTGTTTGTGTGTGTGTGTGTGGCCAGCTCAGCCCACCAGGGGGCGGGGCTGGCTGGCATGTGGTGCTGGGGGATTGAACCGCGGTCCCTGTGCTTTGCTAAGCTTGTTCTAAGTAGGTGCTTTAGACCACTGAGCCATCTCACCAGCCCACATCTCCCACTCTTAAGGGGCAGGACAGAGTTTGGAACCAGCATGCTCTGTGTGTCCCAGTCCTGACCTTACTGGCCTGTTCCCACCAAGCCACTCACACCCCACCTCATCCTCTGTCCTCACAGGGAAGTGACAGCGAGTATGAGGTCGACCCGAATCCCCAGAAGGCTCACTCCTTTGTCAACCACTACATCAGTGACCCCACGTACTACAACTCCTGGCGGCGCCAGCAGAAAGGCATCTCCAGGGCCCAGGCCTACAGCTACACGGAGAGTGACCCTGGAGAGCCTGACCACTCCAGCGTGGCCAACAGCAACAGTGCCCAGCCCGGGAGCCTCTTTCGGCCCAAGGCCAGCCGGACTCCAACGCCCCAAAACCCCCCGAACCCTCCAAGTCAGCAAAGCACCCTCTACCGTCCCCCCAGCAGCCTGGCCCCTGGCTCCCGGGCTCCAATAGCAGGATTTTCATCATTTGTTTGATGTCAGAAGAGGACAGAAGAATGAAGAAAACAACACCAAACTCCTCCTTCACCACTTCCTCACTGCCTGCCAGAAAACAAAAGCACCAAGAAACTAAGTCAACTTTTCACCTCCTGAGTTTATATTTCCAAGATTCCAGGGCCGGTAAAGCTGGCAGTAAGAAGGAGGAAGAAAAAAAGTACCACGAGAGGATGGGTGTGGTCAGCAAGGGGTCGGTGGGCTTTGAGACTGTGGGCTCCACAGAGGTGGCAGAGGACTCAGTGGGTTGGGCCTTGGAGAGAAGGAGGAAGAGAAGGCACAGGTCTGGAGTGCTAGCTGCAGGGGTGGCCGAGGGGTGGAGCTTTCTGGACCTCTAGCCCACTGGCAGCTCCCCACGTGTGCTACATCACAGGCTGGCTACTGGCCAACCCCTTGGGAAAAGGGGTGTCCCCAGAGGCCAAGGGTGCCATCTCTCTTGCCCTTTCTCCTGGCATGTGTGTCCCGCCACCTTGCCCAACTCCTTTCCCTGCCCTACCATATCCACTGCTCACCTCCCTTGTTCAACTTCTCCAAGCGACTGGTTTATTTAGAAAAGGGAAAAACAGTACAGGGTGAGAAGCTGCTTAGCAACTTCCTTGTCCCTGCATATTTTTAACATTGCAACTCCATGGAATGGGGCCGGAGGGCTGCAGACTCCTCCCAAGTCCACGCAACCGAGCCCTGCCGGTCTTTGCGTGAGTTCCGTTCTGGAGCACAGAGGAGCGGTGAGTTCTGGGTAGCGCATGCGTAGGCTGGCTGCCTGGCTCCACCCTGGGGACGCCCAGGGTTGATGCCTTGCAGGAAGTCGGGAATGGAAGGATGGAGCTTTGATTCTTTTTTCTTCCACTTTCTACCCCGTGCCCTACATTTAAAGGAGGGAAATGAGGCTGCTAGGAGGAGGATATTCAGCTGCGCTTCAAGAGCTCGGCAGCAAGGGTCACCGTCGGGCACACACCCCTCTCCCCTGGATAGGCCCCTTCTAGCACTCTCGTGCCTGTGAGGATCCACTTCAAGATGATGGACCTAGGAATCCTCTCCAGGAGAATTCCCACCTACCGGACCGCACGTCACTTCTGGGCTGCGGTCCCTCTGCCGCTTCACCCAGGGCCTCCGGAGCACAGCACAGGAGCCCAGGGAAGTGTTCTAGTTCCCGGTCCAAAAGCCAGAGCAGCCGCAGCATGCCCAATCTGCTCAGAACCGGGTTTACTGTGTCAAAGGACACCCCAACCCCCAGTGGCATCTTCTGAGCTGGGCTGGGCTGGGCCAGAGCTGGGAGTGAGGAGGGGCTGTTCAGTAGTAGCCCAGAGCAAGCAGCAGCCTCTGAGATGTGTGGTCAGCCAGGCAGGAGGGGTGGGTCGAATGGGACCTGGGGACAGGAAAAGCTCAGCAGAAGCGAAGCTTGTATGTGTACACAGTCTGCTCCAGGGAATGTGCTTTTAAAAGCTGCTTCTGGTGGCCTGATCTTCCCATCAGCTTGAGACTTCCCATGCAAGGGTTAGGGAGGAGCCTTTCGGTCAGATTCTCTGGGCTTTCTGAGGCCCCTGGGGATTCCAGCCAGCCCTGTGAAACTGGCCCGAGGCCCATGCACTGCTGGGGATGGACGATGGTTGCCTCTCTTAGCTGGTATCTGTCTGATTCAGCATAGGGAATCCTGTGTCTGATTCAGACAGAGATCTGTCTGATTCGGCCCCTAGTTTGCCCTGGAGGATGTCAGGCCTGTTTAGAAGGATGAGAAGTCAGGAAAGGCCCAGGTGGGGAGAGGGTGGACAGACCAAGGGAGGAGAAGGCCTGTTCCCTACCTGCGAGCCCCAAATTAGTTACTGTGCTAATGGTGGCCGGGAAGGGAAGTCCCAGGGCAGGGTCCAGCTCACCCAGGTGCGTGGGCTCCGCAGTGCACCTGCCCCCTGGGAAATGTGAATGGGAAGAGTTGCCCCTGCTGCTGGATGCGCACCCCGACTGCTCCCTAAAGCAGGACCAGGGGCCGCAGCTTCACACTCTGGAGAGCCAGGTGCTCAGGATCTCTGCGGACCTGGCCTCGCCTGCCTGCCGTGGGCACCCCACTCCCACTCCCCCACCCCCACCCCCCGCAGCAGCTGGCGTCTCCATGGCAACACATCTGCAGCCTCCCTTGCAATCTCCCTGCTGCACTTCCTTTTTTTCCTGTTCATCTTTTTTTTTTCTTTTTCTTTTTGATAATAACTTCATCTTTTTTCCTTCTCTGTGGAGTGTTTAACCATTTAAGGAAGGTCCCGGGTTGCATTAGGGAATTATTTTAACCCTGCCCAGTGACAGGGTTTGGGGGAGGCAGCAGGGCTGAACAAAACCATTGTGTGGATGTGTGCACGTGTGGCACGCAAGGCCGGTTTTCCTTTGCCCTTAATGAATCACCTGGTGCCCTACGACCTCTCCCTGCCCCTCCCCACGGACTGGTTTACGCCTGTGCTGACACCCACGTGCGCATAAGTGGTGGTGGTGCCTGTGCATACCTGTGCTCATGCACATACACAGATATGCATAGAACACACGCGTGTGTGTGTGTGTTAGCAAAGGGGCTCATACTGGTCATTCTGATGACCCGAGCTATATCTCCCTGATGGGACCCTACTGTAGCCTGGGTGACATGCATTTGAGTTTCCTGGGGATCTGTGTCTGGCAAGGTGAGGACACTACAAACCACAACTCCTGGAGGAGCCCAGGAAGTCAGGCTGGGCCCATGGGAAAAGCCCTTCCCTTCGTCAATACCTACCCACCTGCAGTGTCCCCACCACTGCCCCAGCCACATCGAGGGACCCAGGCAGGTCCCTAGCTGTGGAACTCTAGGCTGTTTTTAAAGAAGACATCTTTTTGCCCCTGTTTACATATCTTCCGGGGCGGGGGAGGCTCCTACACCTCCTCCCAGACACCTGGCATGTTAGAAGGGTGTGGCAGGCACTGCCCAATTTTGGGTCCTGGGGAGCCTTGCTGGCCTATGACTTCCCGAGCCGCGATGCCTGGACCCTGCCTGAGCGGCTGTCTCAGAAGCAGGTTCACACCAGGACACCCCAGCTCCCTTGGTGGTGCCTCACTCCGCCCTGAGGAAACCAGGTGTCGTACCCAGGAGCCTGTGCTGGGCACCCCGGGCCGCTCTTCTCCCCTCCTGCTGTGCCTCCTGGCTTCCTGTGAGCTCTGCACCCAGACGGCCAAGATAAACCAAATAGATGCTCTGGGCTCCAGAAGCACCCTCCTTCTAGGGCTGCAGGAAGTTTGCAGACCCAAGCTGCCCATCTCTTCTGTCCTCCACCCTCCAACTGACACTGCCTGGGTCAGAGGAGACGAGGCCACAGCGGGGCTGCCCTGTCCAGCACACGCTTTGCAAGGCCTTCTGTGGCTGCCCGTGCCTCCTGAGCAGCGCCTCAGCATAGGCCACACTAGGCAGGGGCTTCCCTCACCAGCCCAGAGAGCACAGTGAGCCCGCACTGGGTGAAGGGCCCACGGGCAGGAGGGTGGAAGGAGACCCCCTGGGCAGCTGCGCCAGCTCCTGAGTGCCTCTGTGCAGTCCTGTCTGGGGACACCTGCCCTGGTCACCGCCCTGCCTGCGCACACAGGCACACCCTCGGGACCACCTCCACCTCTCCCTGTTTCCATAAGATAACCAAAAGCGTTTAAACATGTTACCTTTCCTCACCCATAGAGACTCCCCAGACAAAAATCGATATAAATCTTTATTTTTTTGATTTAAAAGATATAATGACAAATGACGGGGAAAGTATTCATTATGGCCGGTGTCTGTCTGTAAGAAAGTATATATCTATATGTCATATAGCTTGTTAGGTTTATTTTTTAAATGAAAGGTTAAAAAAAAAAATGAAGTTGATTTGAAATATATACCATGAGAAGTCCCATGTCCTGTCAAACTGTTAGTATTTTATAAATAAACTTTTGTTTTAGAATTCGGAAGCAGCATTCATTCTCTTCCCCCATGGAGGTGAAGAGGGACACCCTGTGGAGGTAGCCTGCTCGAGCTATCCCTCCCCAGAACACCCCTCTTCAGTGCTGTAATGCTTTCACAGTGCCCAGCCCCTCGGCCCCATTGATTCCCAGGTGGCAGATGTCTGTGCCTTCAAAGGAAGCACCTTATTTATTATACATTTTTAGAATAAGAGCTTCTTGGATTATTATGCAAGTGACAGCGATCGGTAATCACATCAGTAGCTAATAGTCGCGAGACATTCACTCTGCCTAGTGCTACTGCTGTCACTTTGCATCCTTTTAATTTTTTTTTATATTGTATTTAGGGCTGGGGAGATAGCTCAGTGGACTAAGCGCCTGCTTAGGCAAGCGCAGGCAGGGACCGCAGTTCAATCTCCGGCACCACATGCAGCGTTGGCCCCGCCCCCGGCGAACAAGTCTGGGGGTGGTTGTGCGCACCTGTAATCCCAGTGCTGGGGAGGCTGAAAACAGGATCGCTATGAATCTGAGCTGCGTAGTGAGACCCTTTACCAAATATGTAAATTTAAAAAAAAAAAAAACATGCTGGGGAGATGGCTCAGTAGAATAAGTGCTTCATTGGCAAGCTCAAAGGCCTGAGTTCAATCCCTGGTTCTGTCAAAAAAAATTTTTTAATTAATTAGTTTTAAAAAACAGTATAAAACACATAGAATATCACTCAGTGAGTGCACTTATTTCACAGCTATTTCATGCTATCACACATTTATGCATAAGGCAGCTGCTCCATTGATAATAATAATATTATTTTTTTTTTGTGGAACCAGGGATTGAACTCAGGCCCTTGCACTTGCCAGGGAAGTGCTTATTCCACTAAGCCATCTCCCCAGCCCACTCCATTAATAATAATAAAATTAAAAAAAAAAAAACTTCAAGCAGAAGAAAAAGGATATTTCCTAAACGCTTCACTTTTACTTCAAACATAAATGTAAATTCATTCACCAGTCTACTGATGTTGGGCCGCAGCACTGGCTTTTTCTTTCAAGAACGGCTCTGAGTTTGGAGTTCTTTATTATCATCTCTTTTGCGTAAATTGCACTTGTAACATATCACGTGTGCACTACGGTTTCTGTCTCTTTAAAGAGAGAACATATGGAGATTAGGAGATGGCATAGAATCCTGCTCTCACTACCTTGTCTAGTTGTACTTTTTGTTTTCTGGCAGAACCGGGGATTGAACTCAGGCCTTTGTGCTTGCCATGGAAGTGCTTATTCCACTGAGCCATCTCCCCAGCCCTTTCTACCCCATGACTAATTCAACACATCTTATATTTGGCAGCTTCCCTTTGCCAAAGCATTGGTTTTTCTGAAGCATTCCACATCATTTTCTTTTCTTTTTTTTTTTTTCTGGCAGAACCGGGGATTGAACTCAGGCTCTTGCACTTGCCAGGGAAGCACTTATTCCACTGAGCCATCTCCCCGGCCCTCCACATCATTTTCAAAGAAACCACTATTCTCCTTTTCCACTCTTATTTTATCTGCTACATCACAGTTTAGTAAATTATGTCATTACTATAAAAACTACAACTGGCATAAGCAAAGGGAGGATAATGGATTCTTTATAGACCCACCACTCCTTTTTTTGTGTGTGGGTTTTTTTTTTTTTTTTAATGTATTTAGTACATGGTCTACAGGGTGTACAGGGTCTTACTACGTAGATCAGACTTGTAGTGAGCCTCCTGTTTTCAGCCTCCCAAGTACTGAGATTACAGGCACACACCACCATGCCCAGACTCATTCACCAGTTCAGTGCACCCCAGGGGCAGGGGCGGCACAACATGCTGGGGATCGAACCCCAGCCACTGTGCTCTGCCTAAGCAGGAGCTTTAGTCTGCTGAGCTATCTGGCCAGCCCCCATCCCTTGCTTTTGTAGGCACAGATATGCACAGGAGCGATAGAAACCAGGCTCATACCTCCAGCTCTTGGGGTGCCAGCGGTGTCTATATTTTACTGAGGCAATACATCCATTAAAGTGACTGGGTGGTTAAGAGGAGGTCAGATAAGAGAGCTTCTGCTTATAGTGTAAACCAGGTATACTGTACTTTATGACCAATTTTCACGCTGATAAGGGGTTTTCAAGGGTAATTTTGACTACATATAATTTTCCTCTTACACATACTTTGGATCCCTACCCCCACATTAGATATAACTTCAGGCCCAATGCCCGAGGATATTTGGCTAAAGGATAATGACATGGAAGAGATTCCGTAGTCATGAGAGCAAGCTGACTCCAGAATGATCCTTTGCAGATGGTGAGACAAAAAAGTGCCCCTAGTTTCCCCAAGGGAAATGAGATGGCCAGAGACAGCAGATACAATGACAGGGTTGAAAGAGAGGGCTCTGACAGCTGGGAGAGAGCTCAGTGGTAGAGTGCTTGCGTAGCAGGCATGAGGCCCTGGCTTCAATTCCCAGTATTGGGCTGGGGAGATAGCTTAGAGGCCTAAGCGCCTGCCTGGCAAGCGCAAGGTCTTGAGTTCGATCCCCCATGCTGGAAAAAAAAAAAAAAAAAAAAAAAAAAAAACCCCAGTATCACAAAGCAAAGAAAGGAAGGAAGGGCAGAAGGAGAGGGAAGAAGGGCTTTGACCACCAGAAAGAATGGCACATGCAGAAAGCACTGTGCTCCACACCTTGAAGAAGCCATGCACTATTCTTTAATTCCAATCTTCTTCCTCATTTACTTCCACATTACTGCCTGCTGCTCCCTAACCACAGCTACTGGACTTTGACCATCTACAGTTAAAGGACCAGAGGAATACATTAGAGAGGAAGTGATAATCCAAGCACCAGAGACGAATAGAATGGTCATTCTACCAAGAAGAGGATGGGGAAACCATGCTTTCTGAAGCCAAGGAGCCTCAGCCTAGGATAACAAGCTAGCTTGAGCTGTGAAAGCACTAACTGCCCCCAACCCCTGAAGGTAGCTTACCTAAGAAAACCCTAGTTGGCTGTTCAGAACTCTACAGAGTTTCTCAGAGCTCTGAGTTTGCCAATGGGCAAAAAGCACTTGGAGTTACTAAGCTGACCAAAAGGATTATGGGTCTCGCAGACGGCAGTTCTCACTAATTCCAGCTTCCGCTCAAAACTCTGCT